CATTTTCAAATCAAATGCGGAAGTTTGTCTTTTCTCTTTTCTTTGCAGCAGTAGCAGCAGTCAGGAGTCTCAAGAAAAGAAGTCAAAAACTTGCGACGAGTTTGAGAAAAGTAAGATTTTTTGCAAAATTGGGTCGTTTTAATCGTCCTTCTCTGCTATGAAAGATCAGTTAGTTAAAAATAATAATTATAATAATAATAATAATAATCAGTTTATTTACTCTTTTTGTAGCTTACAGCTAAATTACAAGAGTGGTCAGGATACAAATCATATCTATACATTCAATAACATGAAACATTTAACTAAGAATATCTATATGTAATAAATTTATCGAGACGGTTAGTAAAAGCCATAGCGGGATCATCTCTAAGAGAGCCTGAGCGTAGATTATATCCACGGGACACAGTTGTGCGATGTGGCAGCAAGTTAGCAAGGACACCAGTGTCCCGAACTCTCTGGATAAACTTAGTGTGTGCAGCGGCATGCCGATCAGAGAGATTGCAAAGACCACACAGCACAAGTGCGTCCCTTTAGGAAAGCCCAGGAAAGATTATTTCTAAGGCTTTTATTTACACACATTCAATTAGGAGGCTGAGATAATCAGACAGGTTTGCCCAAACTGGGGAGGCATACTCCAACACTGAACGAATCAGGCTGGAATACACCTGGTGTATAGTGAGGCGAATGTATTACCTCGCGTTCACCGTGCGTTCATCTTGCGTTCACCTCGCGTTCACCTCACACTCCTGCTCTCGTCTGAAAAATTGACGCCTGTTCTGTTGGCTAACAAACGTATGACTGTTATTATTTTGAGAGAAAGCGTACAACTCTGTGCGAATTTAAAGAGGAGGCAACTAACAGTGGGAAGTCCTCATCTGCGGATTTATTGTTATATTCGATAACAGTACACGCCTTTGAGTTCAAATCCAATCTCATTTTGCACACAGGTACGTCAGAGATACTCGGAGAGAAGAATATTAGATCCCACAAATCAAGCACGAGTTCGGAAGAAGATGACCTGAAGAAAAAACACTTCGCAAACAGAATTGACAATGTTACAAAAAGTAAAACAAAGTCAGGTATTAATCAAGAAAAGCAGGAAATACAGGTTATACTAGGGCTTGGAGCTTATTCAGACACCAGTGATTCAGACTCGTCTTCTAATGAATCATAATGAAGTAGTATCTGGTGAATCAACTTTGTTCTCAGTGGTTGGAAGAAAGGTCGCACAACAGAATCTTGCACCTCATGATTCTTCAGTATGCCGTCAATTTAAAGATACGTTCAAGTAAATAAGTTGATTGTGTTTCTTCTAAATGTAAGCCATGAGAAGGAATTGTAAGCCATTTGAAAGGTTATCATCAGGACTGGACGCTTTTAGTGTGGTAATGTTCAAGTGCAACGTGGAAAGAAGCCTTCACAATAACAGTGAATGCAACTTTGCACTTTTAGTTTTCATTAAAAAACTTCAGAATTCCACAGAAATCCAATCTTTTTTTCAGTTTTTATAATATTAATTTGTAGTCTTTCTCTCAGTAAACGCTAGTTCTGTCTGATAAGGCTGTTGAAGAAATCTTGAGAGTTGTTAATCGTTAGTCCACTCCAAAAGATAACGAACAGCTAACGTTCCGTTTGTAATTTGTAGGTAAAGATAAGCGTGTCAAATTTAGAAGAAAATTCACCGCCGTAGTGATTAAAGAAAAGCATGATTACTCGGTCGGAGCTAATTTCAGCGCCTTGCTCCAACGGTGAGTTCATGCAAGAAACGTCAGCTTGTCTTTGGATCGCATCAAAAAACTAGCAGACAACATTCCTACCCCGAAACCTCTGAGGTTAACCAAAAATTATATTTGAAATTTAAGCTTCACGAAGTGTTGCATTTCATGGATGAGATCTTGACAGACCAGAAAGATCATTAACCGGTTAACTCTGCTGGCTGGTTCCAGATAAATCGAATAAAAATATACATTTTTTTACGAGATTCTGTATCATTATATCTGCAATGTCTTATTTCTTGAACTCGTAATTGATTTTTTCTTACCAACTTCCTCCTTTTAATGTAACACTGACGATGTCAATTTGGAAAGTGTACAAAACAATTGCGAGATGATTTTAAAACGTAACATTGCGCTAACAGTCCCCTTACTTTTCTTCGTTAAAACAAGTCAATAAAAATCATAACAGAATAAAGTTGTAAATCCGTTCGAAGCTATACACGTAAACATGTTGACGGACGAGTGGCAATGAATGGCCAATTAGTTGAGGGTTTCTTGGAGCAGCCGCTTCCGATGAATGACAGCTTTATAAAGAAACAATTATTACCACCACGGACTCATACCGTTCTCTTCTGAATCTGAAGAAACTTGGAACCATTGTTGCAATATGATAGCCGAAAAAGAAGCCAGCTTTTGTACCAAACAAACAGTCTCTGTCGTGTGGTGGATTGCGAAGTAACTTCAGAATCAAAATAAATTTAACACCTTGATAACAAAAAAAAAAAAAAAAAAAAAAAAAAA